TTCTCTAGGTCACTCGTTAATATTAACATTTATTATTGAATTTATCTATCAGGGTTTAGATAAGAAAGCCAAGACTCGGGCTGTGGCTTTAGATATTTCAAAGGTCTAGTGGAGGTCGCTGGCTTAATATTTAACTTAATCCAATCATTCTTACCAAATCGTGTAATGAAGGTAGTGTTTTATGGCCATGCTTCGAGAGCATTTCATATTAACGCTGGGGTCCCCCAGGGCTCCATTCTTGGACCTACGTTGTTTTCCAATGTCATCAGCTCTTAACTAGGTATTTATACTGATTAAAACTATTTGATACTGTCTTAATAGTAAATCCGATATATTCAACAGAGTAAAACTGGAAGCTACTCTCAAAAACGACCTCCAATCAGTTAAATGTGGTTTTTGGTATACCATAGTCTCAAAAGCAGTCAGTCATAGCATCCCACTCTCAATAATGCTCATAGAAAAGAAATTGGTAAACGACCCACCAGAAGATCGTGTGGGCCTTGCAGATATACCATCATGATCGTCTGGCGGATTGTGTGGGAGCCAATGTGTAAATGGCCAAAGTTGTTGTATCTTTAACACTCTGCATTATTCATAAATATTGCTTCTTCTTTCACTATATATGACTTTAGTTAGGGTTGTTATATTTAATTACACGTAAATATCCTTGTGAAAGGTGTGAATCCATCTCCTCCCTCCAGCTATGGATTAAATAGTAGGAGTTGTATCTGGAAAATCATTGCTATTCTCAAAAAACTGTTAATGCAATATCCACTTGCAAAAAAAAAGAATTAATCTTACAATACAAAATATGCTTCAGCTTTAAATAACCCAAAAAGTGTTGATGAACCATAAGAAAGCCAAATCAGTTCCATTGTATATGACAATGCCTAAATTGTAATTCACTCAAAATTCTTTTTACTTTTACCATTACTAATCAAACCCAAATTGGTTAAGGATCTCAATTCACATGGCTATCTTTCAAATAAACAATATGGCTTCTCTAAGTCAACTGTTAATGTGTTAACGGTTATTATTGCAGTAGTCCCTCAGGCTTTAAATAAAAATGACGAGGCTCGGGCTATGACTTTAGATATCTCAAATGCGTTTGTCAGAGTTTGGTATGCTTGCCTTCTTCACAAGTTCAAAGGCTATGGTGTTTCTGATTGGATATTTGACTTAATCCAATCGTTCTTAACAAATCAGGTAATGAAGGTTGTGTTGAACGGCTACGCTTCTAAATCATTAGACCTTAATGTGGGCGGCTTCTAGAGGTTTGTCCTTGGACTTACGTTGTTTCTTATCTTCATCCACGACCTTTCTGATGTCATCAGTTCCCAACTAGGTATCTAGACTGATGATACAACCATTTACTTTTGCCTCTTAGCAATTTTCATAGGGTCCGACAAAGTAAAACTGACAGCTGCTATCTTTGATCATCAAAGAGAGCCATTTTTGTAGAGAAACAACTCTTAGTTCCTTCTTGGTCTCACGTTTTCCACTGACATGAAGTGAAGTGGTCAGGGTTAGGGTTATACTGAATCAATCGCTAGGTCTGCTGCTAGGAAAGTTGGTTCATTGTATCGTTCCAGTCTAATTTTCCTCATCAGAATTCATCTTGCACATTTATAAATCTATTATTGGTCAGTGCATTGAATATTATTTTCATATTTGGTCTGGAGCTCCTGCTATATATTTCGAGATTCTCGATAAAATCCAAAGAAGGGTTTGTAATTTGGTCTTGACCTAGCTTTTCGACTTCAGTTACGTTCTCAACACCGTGACATGGCTTCCCTCTGTCTTTTCTATAGATATTTTCCTGACAATTGTTCTAATGGACTCTCCTCCTGTGTACCGCTAATTCAAGCGTACTAAAAAGACTGGCTACCAGGTTTCATCATTTTCTCATTGAAATAACTAAATAGCACCGTAAGTTCTATTCTAATAGTTTCTTTTCCTGCACTTCTCACCTGTGGGACTCTCTTCCGATTTCTTGCTTCCCTGTCATCTAAAATTTTCAAACATTTAAATTCAACAAACGCCATCTTCTGTCTTACTGACACCTATTCTTTTATTGTCCTTTTTCTTCACTGATGTCTTCTCGTTCTCTTCCACTCCCAGAAACCACTTGTATCTTACTAGCTTCATCGATTTGCTTGGGGTGAAATGATTAAAAAAATAAAAACGACCACATGCTGCAAGTTCCATTAATGAAAGTATGCCTAAAGGCATCGGGTAATGTTTAACGAGTTAGTCTGGATGGCCGTTGGTAGTGTGTTCGACTCTCATCGTGGAATCCGTCTTTCTATATAACCCTAAGTTTAGTAAAGAGCATCAATATTATGGTAAAGAAACTATCATTTCATCAAGTGTTTACTTTATCTAACATTTACTCTTGCTATCGTTGTAAATGTTTTAATTATTTTTTCTTTTATTACTAGTTCCGTACACGTTGCTTTTCTGATGGCATGAAACTTAAATTTCAAAACTAAATTATTTGCCCGTTTAAACATTACATCTATTGGAATTATATTTAAATACTGATCGAATCATAAAAATAAGTTCAGCGTAATTATTTTCCTGTTACCCGGAGTTGTTGTACGATTGTGCGTATATACGTTTGCGCATGTATGTACGTTTGCGCATAAATATACGATTGTGTGAGTATGTATAATTGTGCGTATGTAAGTTTACGTGTGTATGTACTTTGTGTGTATATGTACGTTTACGTATGTATTTAAGTTTACGTGTATATTTACGTTTGCGTGTGCATGTACGTTTGCGTGTAGATATACGAATGTGTGTATGAACGTTTACTTTGTCCGATTGTATGTACGTTTACGTGTGTATATATGTTTGCGTGTAAATATAGATTTGCGTGTAAATATAGATTTGCGTGTAAATATATGACTGTGTGTGCATGTACGTTTACTGTTGTTTGTACGCTTGTGTATGTATGTACGATTGTCTGTGTATGTACGATTGCGTGTAAATATACAACTGTGCGTGTATGTACGTTTGATTGTGTATTTGCAAGTGTGTGTGCATGTATGATTGTGTGTATGTACGAGTGTGTGTGCATGTATGATTGCGTGTATGTACGTTTACTTGTGTATGTAGTTTGCGTGTGTATGTACATTTACGTGTTTATTTACATTTACGTGTGTATTTACGCTTACGTGTATATATACGTTTGCGTGTAAATATACGACTGTGTGTGTATGCATGTTTACTTTGTACGATTGCGTGTGTATGTACGTTTGTGTGTGTATATATGGTTGCGTGTAAATATACGATTGTATATGATGTACATTTGCGTGTGTATGTACGATTGTGTGCGCATGTACGATTGTCTGTTTTTCTAAGGAAAGTAAGGGATATTTATTAACCCGACCGATTTTTTATCACATTAAACGTTATTTTTAGTGGATATTCGTATTTGAGTATAGTCTCAAATCGTTCTCGCATTTCTAATTCATACAATCTCGATTCCAGTGTTGTGATTCTATTTTTATTTGTTTGTTTTCACAGTTCCAGATGCTCCTATCATTATGGGTATGATTCTAATATTCATATTCCATATCTTTCTCAGGGTCAAGTCCTAGTATTTTTCGAATTTATCGCTTCGCATTCATTCTGTTTTCCGCTGTTACAGACACATTCAAAATCTGTCAGATTTTTTTTCTTTATTCACAACATATTTAGTTTTCTTTCTTGGGCCGGTTCTAGTTCTAGTATAGAAATTTAGAAAAAATAATCAGAAGCCAAGATTAATCAAACGTCGAATATAACGAAGACACCTAATGACTAAATAAATGACCAATCACTGTCCTTGTAAGTGTCACACGACACTGTCTATATAAGACCCAAATTTAAAGACCCATACTTTTTTTTGCTTCCACCGAGTTACTCAGACGGCATGAACCAAAGCTGCTCCCTTAACCATAAGCCCCGCACAGTGGCTTCAGTTTACTGAAGAACGGAGCCGACAACCTCACGAGAAATTACTATGATCTAAAGATGCGGGCCGTGGAAGGAAAGACACCTCAGCTTTAACAAGGGACAAGTTGTCAATATACCCAGACGCCTTTTCCCCTGAACAAAGTCCGCAGATGCATATTGCCTGCAAATACTTATTTTTCTTCATTTCTATTTTCCTATCTTGATAATAAATATATTCAAATAGCCCAGTTTGTTGTATTTTTTTTTCTCTTCAATGTGTCGGTCAGTTCGTTTGGGCGAACGTGACTTGGCATTAAACCTCCGTAACTTGGGGTTGTATCTTGGCGTATTATCGTGGATGCAACACCACGCTTTATGTCAAAATCGCCGTGTTTTTGTGATGTTGGTTTTCCAGAACAGTCTCAGGTTTTTACTATCATTGGTCTAAATAGTCGAATCAAAATCGTTTGCACAGTTCCCAGGGTACGACTGTTGCTACCCTGTCAAGTCTATTTTCGCTTTCTTATTTTCGCAAACGTATTACGGCATTTGTTAAAGACATTTTTGTGAGAAGATAGTATAGTTGATAGGGTACACATTGGAGTTTCCTTAAAATTAAAAGTGAGCACGAATGAATATACAATTACGTGCACTTAACATATTTTAATGCTTAAGCAATGGAAAGAATACGATATGAGTGAACAAAATTGTCTATGTAGAGATGTCCTTTTTTTATATGTATTTTAATAAATAGTTTACCTGAAAACTTTGATTGATTCATTCATTCATTTTGTACGGTTTATCAACCCTTTGCAGGTTATTTAAAGCCAGAAAGTATTTCAAAGTGTAAGAATTTGTTTTGTTTTAGATAATAATGGTTTAGTGGTACAAATTTTACCATTTAACCCATAACTAGTAGTACAACAGGTGGATTCATACCTTGAGGTTATTTGCGCGTCAGTGAATATAATTAACCCAACTGGAATTGGAACTTGGCTCCCTGATTAACAATTCTTAACAATTAAGTCATTATCCATTACACTACCCGCACATCCAAGCTTACAGCACCTGGTATTCCCCAGCGGTCACCCATCTAGTTACTGACTAGGCTCAACGTTGCTTAACTTAGTTGAACATAATCGGGAATCGGTCTTTCACTGTGATGTGGTCGTAAGCCCTGGAAGACTTTGAGTGGTTTACATTTGAAAAGAATTCTTTATCCGTTGGCTTGTTACCATTATTAGATATACCTGTGTCTAGTCAAGTAAGCATTGATCATTAGATTCCGTGTACGATTCTTTTTGTATGTGTGTTCAATGTAACATGAGGTTCACTGGGAAGCAAAACCTCTCCGAGAGGGTGACGAGACAGGTCTAATTTCTAAGTAGCTAAAAAAGAAAAACAATGATATTTTTTGTGTTCTTTTTTTATATACTGTTTTGACGATACCATTTTGCAGTCGTTAGCAGAAGTTCTTTGGTAAACAAGTGGTGTTCACTGGTTATTATTATTAGTTAATAATGCCCACATTATTATTACTATTATTATCAGCTGTTGTAGCAGTTGAACTTCAATAAAAGATAACTGAAAGACTGATCCATGGAATACTCACGACTCCCTGTTGTCTCCAGTGAGGTCGTTTAGAATTAGCTCATTAAAAATTAATCATCAGAATAATGAAAGTAATCGGCAGTAAAACAGCTTTGGCAATGTTAGTCTCCTTTTAAGTTTTTTGCTATTTCTTTCCAGCTGCATCTTTGTTATTTCTTTCCTTGAAATATCAAAGATTTTATGCAAACACTGGTCTTGTTTTATTGAATGAAATTGTATGAAATAAAATAATTCTCATTAAATATTTACAATAGAAACCATAAAATGTGATCTATGCAAATAATTGAATCATTATTTAAATGTTGATTTCATTTCGCTTTACTGATCTGTTTTACGCGTAAAACAAGGGAGTTAACTCGTTACTTAATATTCAAAGTAAAGTGCTGAAGAAAAATATATTCACACAGCACGTTATCCTAATTAATTTTTGAGAAAAAATTGAAACAATTGATGGCAACTTCCACTTTCTCCAGACAACTTTCTGAGATCTATTTGAATATTTTTCTTCATATCTATCTCTCCATATATCTCTCTCCCTGTCTCTCTGTCTGTCTGAGTTTCTTTCTATCTTTCTTTTTTTCATTTATCTTTCTAAGTTTCTATCTCTGTCTGTCTCTTTCTCTCTCTCTCTCTCTCCCTCTCCATATATATATATATATATATATATATATATATATATAAATGCGATCCTCAGTCTGAGGGTCGCATAAGCGTGAAACCCATGGTTACAAACTCATATCCTATTCAACTAAATATGGTAGGTCTATCACTGATATTGAGCGCTTTCCAATATGCACCGTATATATATAAAATATATATAGAAATTATATATATATATATATATATATATATATATATATATAGTCTATAACAATGGGTTTTAACCTGTTAAACTCTTTCAGTTTGATCTCATATATATATATATATATATATATATATATATATATTTACCAATAAGCACTTATAGATTGGTTAGTAATCTGAATTCGTCACCCACACGACTCTTCATAGGTTTCCTCCCTGTGTGTCTCATATTTGTGGCCTTGTGCCAAACTAAGCAATATAATTACTCTAAGATTTTGTTTTGTTTCTTATAACGCCAACCTTAATAATCATGACTCTCCACATTCTCTTATCCCTTCTAGCTCTTAGTACTGTCTGTCTTTTCGTGGGAGGTATGTAAAAAAAAATTCTATACTGATATATATTTTAAATCAAGATAAATTCCTGCATTTGGCGCAACACATTCTTCCTCCAACCAAACCCCCGATTTTGTCCATTGAGGAACAACTTAACTCCCTTAGTTTGCTCACAATCCAAATCGGTAATACGAAATGAAATGAAGATTTAAATGTTTTGTGATGTCAACGAACACTCGTTGCCACTTTTGTAATGTCAACAAATACTCGTTGTCACTTTCGTAATGCTCGTTGTAGTAGAGACTTTGTAATCGCAGATACAACTATAGTAACGCCATTGAACAATGCTGGTGTCAGGCGCCTTTGAATAACACTCGCACTAATAGTACTTGCTCGATAATACTCACTCTAAAAGTAACCACCATATAGTGTACCGAATAGAGAAATAGTATAGTGAATAAAGTAGAGAATAGCGGTTCTTATAGCAATAGAAGATAGAGTAGCGATCGTTTAGACTTCACGCTCTTACCAATTTATGCGTTTCCTCTATGGTCATGTGGTTTCAACAATGGTATTGCCTCTGTTTGCTCGCTGACGATCTATGTTCAAACTCAGGTGTCGGCAGCGACACTTTATTCTTATATAACAAAATGATGACAAATCGGATTTTGGTAAATTTAGTAAATACCAGTAACTTTATATCACTCAGTTTGTGCTAATCTTTTTCAGTGGGTATTGCAGGATTTCGACTTGTGTTTTTCCTCTTGTTGAATATTTGAATAAATGATTATATCCAAATGTTTTATGTTATAAACTCTGGTGGTGTCTGCCGCCTTCTACGTTCTTGCTACTAAATAATTTGTTATCCATCGAAAAGTGTTACGAACTAAACATCATTATATATTTATATTCACCGACCATGCGCTCGCTTTTAAATCTTAGGTCTCTTTCCAAATACACTGACGAGAAATAAAAATGGCCTCACCGTGAAGGACGATGCCTACTTTAAGATGGCTACAAGTATATGCAGCATGGTGGACAACAGACCATTTCCTCAGCGATCAAATGATCGGGGAAATCTATGCATGGGCTTCTTATATTAAAGTTTTCGTTGTTGTTGTTGTTGTTTTAATATTTTCTAATGCTTCTCCCACCTAAACTATAACACTGCCTGTTTTGAACCCAACTCAAAAAAAAAAAAAATTTAAAAAGTAAAAAAGAAATAATGCTCGCACTTCGGCGCCTGCAAAATTAATTATGTTTACTAACTCAGTATTACCCAAAGTGATATGCATACCGATATCGGTACTCGAGCCATCTGTTATGAATAATCAAGAGTGGTCTCCCCTTATTTTGTTACTCTGAGAGAGCTATTTCTGTTTATTGGGACTATAAAAGGACACTATACGCGAACCTTGTATTCTCAGTTGAATAAAGCTTTCTTAAAGCCAACGCCTGCGAACTTTTGTCATTACACCATCGTCTGCCGGTACGTTGAGAGTTTCCAGGAAACTCTAGGCGTACCGGTAGTCACATTCTACGCCACGGTGACTGTCGGGATATCTGACACTGTTTCTTTTTTAGCATTTTCATTTTAGTTTTATACTTATTATGGTTATATTTTTCGATTACTCACTCATATAAAATTCATTACTATACAACTAACGAATGCGATATAATAAAAAGCAAAACAATGAACTGAAATACGTATGACAACGCCATAATGATGTAGCGTGTGACAGTGTGGGAAGCATACTTAGGAACACCAAAAGGCCACTTTTATGGACATATACAGTACATCTCCTCTAAACCGAATATCTCGGATGTTCGGTATTGAGGGTAGTGTTCGGATTCGAGGAAGAGAAGGCTGCTGTGGCAAGCTTAAAATTTTTATTAAGTTTTAGAGTTTAGGATACAAAAGATAGTTTCTAACGTTAATTCGTTTTTATTTAAAGGGTAGATTGAATACGTAAATGTACAAAAAATAATTGACAAACAATTGTAATGAAAAACTTTGTGCTAAACAATTATTGTAATTTGTGACAAACTAAGACACTTTATGATATGTTTAAAAATTTATAAAAGTTATAAATTTATCATTCAAAAACAACCAATCCGTAAAGGAAGTCAAAAATAAAGATATACAGTACAACTCCTCTAAACCGAACATCCGAGATGTTTGGTTGTTGAGGGTCAGTCAGTCAGTTATGTGTCATGCGTGATACACGCTTAGGCGATCATGTATCTTTCGATGTATGACTGATGAGGCAAATTTTTTCTCGCAGTAGGTTGCCATTTCTTTCTGCGGTAAACCATTTGCCATCCAAGGCTATAGAACCCGGTCTGTCCTGCTATTTACCCATAGCTGGGGTCGGGGAGAAGTAGAGGATTCATATCTTTCGCAAGTGTATTAGCACGTAAGTGAATGTAATGCATTCGACTGGAATTCGAACTCGGCTCTCCGATTCCTCAATGAGGGTACAGTTGTGATTCAAGGATGAAAAGGCTTCATATTTATGTCAATACAAAAGTTCGAATTTGAAGATGAGTCCAAATTCGAGAAAGTCTAATTCGAGAAAGCCTAGATTATGCTATGTTCGGATTTGGGGAGTTCTACTGTATTCTTAATTTGGTCTTTAAAAATGTTACCTGCCTGTCGAAAAAAGGAATAGCCACATGGATTTGGACCAACATTTTTTTAAAATTAGCATTTAATTCCTTAGATTCATAATCTAGCTGCTTGGCAAATTTTTCAAAGTCTCTAACAAAGCAGCTAGTGTGTCGGCTCAGAAGATGTAGCACCTTGCGTTGCCAGAATAACTCAGTCACCAGTCACGCCATATCCACCTAAAAACATATCGTTTTATGGAAAGTGAATACAGCAGGGCCGGTGCGTACTACCCTCGAACATCCCTAGAGATGGATTGGAATTCTTCGCTTGCTGGCCACTCGCACATTGAAAAACAAATGTCGGCATGCCACAGTAGATATTTTGAGAAGCACTGTTCTCACGGGTAAGAGATATTCTGATAACATTTTCGAAATTTTTGGATCATTTTATGACGTTATAACTCTCATTCAAGCTGTGTGTGTCTGACTTGGGTTAATTTAACGACGGCACAACGATCCTTGTTGAGTTATTTAATATAGTATAGGGATCAGTACTGACTGCTCGATCAATGAATGTCGAATGTTTCCTTATAAGGAAACCGCTAATATTACAAATATCATAACCATAGGTTCGGTTTACACGAGAGTCAATAAAGATAGACCTCTGTCTGGTTTACACTCGATTTAGAAAGGTAGGCATACACATGTCTGCAAATATCTTCCTCGAAGTTGATCGCTTTTTGTGAATTCTTGCACCTTTATAAGGGATGCAATTGGCGTATTCTAAGCCCTACTGATATGATAACTTTGTGTC